TGAGTGACATGGGCACAGCTGTGTTGGACTGGACCGATCAGTGGGAAACATCTGCAGCGCTTTGGGAGCTTCTCCGTTCCCGAGGCGTGGGAGGGCGGGATTAGTTTGATCCTTGCTTCGCCTCCGGGCCGGGCCGGGATTGGCCCAGGTGCAGAGCCAACGACGGAGCTTTGGAACTCTGTTGCTGGGCTTTAAAGCGCCGCGGGGATCCTCACGAGTTGGATTGCCTTACTTTCTCAGGTCCTCGCTTCTGGTCCCTGGCAGAGGGCACTGCTGCGTCTTCGTGCTGCACAACGCACGCAGCTGGCGGACCAGGCAGTGCTCTCTTCGCTCCTGTGCTCCATGACCGGGTGAGTGCTTGTGAATGGCAGATTCTTATATAGGATGCCCCCCAGTTAGCCCAGATTGGTTGAAACTACAAGGGCGAATGTTTTAGGATACGGTGCCAGCTGTCCGGCTCGCTTGTGACGCCCCCGACCACATCTCGGCTTGAAAATCGTCTCTGCGGGACAGGGAAGCCATGTCAAAGGCAGAAAGAGGCTAGATCAATTGCTGCGTGCTAGGTATAGTAAGACAGCCTCTTGTCTCCAGGCAGCGTGAGAAATAGACCTGAAGTGGTGTCCAGATGTGTCCAGTTTGCATTTCCCGTGGGGCTGTATTGCAGGTAGGCTTTTGAGCTTGCGCAAATGTTGCGAGGGAATCCAGGGGGGATGGGATCGGCAGTCGGTTGCGCTCATTGATTGCCTTGTGCCCGTGACGTGGGTGCACACCTGGGCGGGTTGGGGTGTTCCACTACACGAAAAGAAGAACAGAGTGATGTAAGATGCGAAGCGGGGCCAATCTGCAGGCAAGACTTCAGCAAAAACTTGAGTCTCTGAAAATCGCAAGGCGTCCTGCAATGCTGCGATGAGCACATGTTCAGGAAACCGCTGCTGGTCTGCACATTGCTGCACCTTTCCACGTGTCCCTAAACTACCCCCAAAAGAAAAAGACTTGTCGCCGAGGCTCTTGGCTTCGGGCACTGTGCCTCGGCGGCCTCGGAGCAGAGTCAGAGAGCGTCACAACGTCACGTTGTGTTGGGAGCGCAGTGCATGACGAGCAGAAGTGGGGTTGCAGAGGTTGCTTGTTGTGTCAAGCAGAAGTGGGACACGAAACCTCCTTCGATGACACTCGGAAAGGGCCTGCACCGTCCCTGGCCCGGCATTAAAATTGCCAGGTCCTTGTTGGACGAATCCCGTCGCAGTTTCCATGGTGGCGAGGACGCGATGGTGGCCTTCAACACCGCAATGTCGAACCCTGGCACACGAAGATAATTGCAGCATGTTGCAGAGTGGTTCCAGATCCAACGCGCATAGAGACCTCGGAGTTCACTTGCAGGTTACTTATAGTAAGCCGAGAGAGGGAGGGAGGGAGGGAGGGAGGGAGGGAGGGAGAGAGAGAGAGAGAGAGAGAGAGAGGGGAGAGGCACGAGGCCGGGGGGTCAACAGGTTAAAGTACAGGGTCGGGGGTACAACGGATCCGGCCAGTGCACTTTTCCAAGAAAGGGTGGTCTGACACCTCGAACCGAGACCGCGCGGGCGCGCGGGGGAGGGGTCCAACTGCTCCTTGGCTGAGTGCAAGCAAGAGGGACAGAGAGAGAGAGAGAGAGAGACTTACTAGAACCTTATGTTACATCCACGGTAAACCAAAATCAATGATCAACCGGGGGAAAAGAAAACAAAACACTTTCACACTCCTCCAAAGTCCCCACATAATATGGGGGGGCCCTAGTGGCCGGGGGGTCTAACCAACCCCTCATGCCCGGCGGAAGAAGAGAGAGAGACCCGCCGGGGGACACGACGAACCTCGAAGGCAAAAGACAGCTGGGGGAAGCTCAAAGTGCGGCACTAGTTGACCGCCTGGCGGACTTGGGTTACGAGACGGTCATGATGGTGAAGACGGTGAAGCTTTTTGGGGGGAACTGTGCCAGACGCACACGTTGGAGCAGTTGGCCGCAGCGCCACTTACAGCAAAAGACCTGCATACAGCCTGCAGATGCCTGCAGACTCCGTTTTCACAAAGAGCTCAAACTTCCGTGGTCAGACGTCAGCCGGGTGGTTTACAGTTCCGAGAGGGGGGCAGGTGGGGGAACGCAACAAGTACCGACTTCTCCGCCTTCTACAACCTCGCTTGGACCACCAGTACAAGGCTCTGGGCATAGGACCATACAGGGGAAGTCGCCTCCTCTACAAGCTCGAGTGCAGGGGGAGTCAGAGCCACGCCCCAGTGAAGGAGAAGCCTCACTTGAGCCTGACTGGAACGACCCTGCGGGGGATGTGCCGGTGTTCTCGCCGGATTGCACAAAGTCCGGCAGCGAGCGTGAGCTACAATGGGCAGGAGATGAGAGACAACCTACTACGCCACCCTTGCCAAATGCAGGGAAGCAAGCACAGAGATGGGGGAGACTACCTGGCCATCAAGCTTCCCAGCTCTTGGCAGGTTGTTAAATCTTTTGCTTTTTTGGGGTTTGTGTCCAGGCTGCTCAGGCCCAAGCAGTAGTTAGATATGCCCGAGTCACTACCAAACCATATATCAGTTTTCAACTCCCCCGCCCCCCAAAAAAACAGCCCAACCCAAGCCCGAGCACCGGAAACCTTCTGCCCATTCCATCTGGCGACATGACCGAGCCGGGCGCATCTATGCTGGGGCCCCCAGCTGCGGTTGCCAGGGTACCGGTTCAGGGGTTTGGGTTCCGGGTGTTAGGGTGTAGTACAGGGTCATAAGGGTTGGGGTGTTGTGGGTTTAGGGGTTTGGGGATAGGCTTACTAGGTAGGTTTGGGGGTTTGGGGATAGGCTTGCTAGTTAGGGTTGGGGTGTTGTGAGTTTAGGGGTTTGGGGATAGGCTTACTAGTTAGGGTTGGGGTGTTGTGGGTTTAGGGGTTTGGGGATAGGCTTACTAGTTTAAGAAACCCATAAAAAATTGCAGCCCGAGAATCTCAAGCAACCCAACCCCCAATCCTAAAACCCTAGACCCATCGACAGCCTCAACCTTAACACCCTGTGCCCACCTCCCTAAACCCAAGCCCTAAACCCTAAACCCCGACCTCTCAGCTAAGCCCGAGAGTGGGCGCTGGTGGACTGGGCCAGACAAGGCGCGGAAGTTGTGCTCAGACAGGGCCTTCGGGCCCTGTTTGTCACAACTTCAATGAAGGGGAAGTTTGTGCTCAGACAGGGCCTTCGGGCCCTGTTTGTCACAACTTCAATCGTTCGATTGTCGTGCTCAGACAGGGCCTTCGGGCCTTGTTTGTCATGGCAGTCAAGGGTTGAGAGTTCTGCTCAAACAAAACTTCGGCCCTGTTTGTCAGGCTCTCTACTAAGGAGCTACTAAGGTGGTGGCGTGGGGTGTCCGTCCGAGCCCAGCGAGTGTTTTTGTTTTCGGATTTCGGAGTTTGAGAGGCCAGGTCAAGGTGATGTCCGAGCAGTGCCAAAACCCCGGGCCCGAAACCAAAAGCAGCGAAGCCCCGCCCAGTTACCGCCGAGTGTGTCCAGCAAAGCAGCGGCCTCAGGAGAATCAGGATTTTTGATTTCAGGATTGCGAGGGCAGTGATTGACTGTGTGAGAGCCACACCCAAGTAAAACTCGCCTGATAATTCAATAAACCCCCACTCAGGTCGAGTGAGATGGTGGTCCAGCAAAGCAGGGGCCTAAGTCCGAGGAGCATTGGGAACTCAGGATTGAGAGTGCAGTCGCTTTAGTCACTGAGTGCGCATCTGGGGCCATCAGACCTCCTGAATCCAGGCTCTTATCAGAAGCCTCCCACAGTATACTTCGCCCGAGACCAAACGACATCGCCCCGCCCGAGATACAAGCAGACAAGCCGAAAGCTCAAGAAAACTCTCAAGGTCGAGCCAGCTGCTGTGTCCGAGTGGATTCTCGATCCGATTCCGAAGGCTCGCTTGGTGCATGCAGCTTTTGCCTTCTGCAGTTGTTGCTCATGGCATGCATTGTGCACTGCAGGGCTGCATGAGTGCACGAGCATGGGCACTGGCATCTATCAATGCCAATCAGCATGAGCAGACCTTGATGCGTTTCGCGATGTCGGCTTAAGATTCAGCAGCATTCATGAACATCGGTTCATGCCATGACGTTATCTGCTGCTAGGCTGCTAGGCCAGGCTATGCATGGGCCCATTAGTGGCACGTCCGAGTTACGGCAACAATCTTTAGGACTGTAGGGGTTAGGGGTTCATCATCTAATCTAGCCATTGCGGCACCTCTACTAAGTCCTATCTAATCTAGCCATTGCGGCACCTTTGCTATCTAATCTAGCCATTGCGGCACCTCTAATACTAACAAGTCCTAGACTTACTAAGTACGATGAGCAGGCAGCTTTGTCAAAACACATTAATTAAGTCGCCCGTGCAGCCATGGAGTGCACCCAGGAATCCTATTTTCGCGAGATTCCCTGGGATTTCATTAAGAGCGCCTGCAACGTAGCGGTGGTGCGAAGCCGTTTGATTCCTCGCGCCCTATCTGCAGCTAGGTTGGGTTTAGGCCTGTGATCGCCGCATGTTCCGCAGTAGAACCCTAGACCGCCTACCCAGGTGATGAGACCGAGCTGCCACACTTGCAGAAAGCCTGCCTCCCAGCCTTCACGTGGCAGTTCGGCGAAGTGTTCACCCCTGTGTACGAGCGTCACTATCCACTGGCATGGGCGCTCCGGTACATGCGGGTGGACGAAGGAGCATGGATCGTGCCTGTGCTAAAATTTAAACTAACAGGGCCTAAATTTCTTGTAGTCCGAAGCCATTCAATTCAGTCAATACCCTGACCACCGACAGGTTGTGGTCTCCGGGATGCTTCATTCGCACGAGCGGGCCAAGCCTCTTACGACCGAGCTCGTCATGTTTGCCTTGCGGCTGGTTTTGAAGAGCGAAGGAGGCTGGGATCCGTCCGATATATCCGCGAAGATAAGTGTGGGCGGTCACCGCATTCGCAAATATCTCCGTATCTTGGCTGCGATTTGTGGTGGCTCGCTCGGACTCAAACTAAACACTCTAATCGCATCCAAAACTTGTTTCTTCCAGGTGCTCAACATGCTCACCCTTTTGGACCTCCCAGACGCGGTGACCGCCCGCATTGGGATCAAGAGGGCCACTGGGTGCCTTGTCTGAATTGCAACTTGGACCTTAGTCTATGCTTCTGATTCTGTTCAACACATCTCAGGGCAGTGGCGAGATGGCGGGGGCGGTGGAGGCTCTGTGGAAGGAGGTCCCGGGCTTCTGCTACTGCCTGTTTTTCTTGAGCCCGATGCCACCGCAAATGTGGATGGAATCTCGATCGCATAAGGACTGGCACAGCACTCGCAGCTCGCAT